GTCTTTACCTTATTTATTCAGATTCTAATTATGTCCATCCATTCGTTCATTTTATCCATTTACCATTCACTCTATCTCAACCTCTCCCACTCATTCATTTACTCAATGATTCCTTCTTGGTTTAACTGTACATCGAGCAGAATGTTTGAAATATAGCATTGTGTTTATTTCAGAAATTGCTCAAGATTTTCTGAAAGTGATGGAAAAGTGCCCCAACAGGCTTAAAAGAAAGATCAGTTCTGTTGCCAACTTGAAGGCAAGATAAATGATGATTTAGATTTATTTGCTAAGGTTGGCGACAGCTTGTTGTCGTGGGAATTGTTTGTGTCGGCTGTTGATGTTAATCTGGTTCAGGACACATCCCAAAGCTGATTTATGCGTTGTTGATTGTGAAATAATAGGAATGGCATTGATGCAAGACCATTTTGTACAGAGCGAAATAGTCTTAAAGAGATCCTGAGAGATCTTTGCTTAGCCTCCGTTCAGTCGTTGCATAGTGTCTATTTATGTTCTGGTGTTCTCTTCGCTTAGAGAAAAAAAGAAGAACGTTGGTGAGCAGTTAACAAATAGATTCTACGTTTCCGTGGGTCTATTCAGTAGTAGAATGTTTAACTGATGTTGTTATCGTATTTTGACGCCCTCTGTGATCAAATAGAGAGGTTTAGCAACGCGTTTACGTGAAACGACAAACATCAGCTTGCCCTTTCACGTTTAACGTAAAGTAGCGTGAACCTTACTGCTTTAGCTTGGCATGAGCTCACGTCGTGATGGATTTGAAGGCGCCCTTCCATGACTTACGAGGAATAGTTTTGGTGCCCTTTTTCCGGCAACTTACTTCTACTCTGTGAGAAAGAAAGTGAAGAAAATTTTTACTTTCACGACAAACGCGAAACAGGTTACTTTCACGTAGAAACGGCAAAGCACATCGACAAACGTGAAAAACTGGCGGGAAAAACAAGGTCGCGTAAACGCGTTGCTAAACCCCCAATTATTATACAGACCCACGGCAAGTTGGAATCTATTTATTCTATGACAACGAAGCCAAAATTTGGTAATGGGGACGCTAGCTATGCGTCTAACCTCCAAAAGATCATAAATAAGAACCAAACAAAATGCATGCGAAATTAAGAGTATCTTACATTATTATATACATACTGAGATTTACACACCGAAAAGCCGCAGAGTAAATTTTCGTTTGTAAACCGATGTAAACCAATCAAATGTCGCGTATGGCTTTTCCCACATGTGAGAAAAGCGATACGTCCAATCACGGGCCGCGTATCATGTTTTTTCACGTTTGAGCCGTACGGCAAGTTGAAGTTTTCATTCAAGGCTGGTTGGCGCGGTTTCGTACACCGCACAAGCCATCGCTATAATAGTAATAATAATAAACAATCTTCAAGGAGGAAGCGCCCGTCACGTAATTACGTGGTTTTTCAGGGAGGTCCTCCGTAAAAATAAAAAGTATTTAAAGCTAAAATAAGAAATACAATTGTCACAGATCTAAAACGGCGTATATCTAAAGTTTTATCCAGCTTTTAAAAAATTTATCCATTAAGAATCTTGTAAGGGTTTCCTTAAAAATTGTGCATGGCAGTGGCCTTCTTAAAAATACTGGGAGGGACATCCAGTCAGTTATAAAACGGAAGTAGGACACCCTCTTTCCGCATTCCGTTTTAGGTTTAGGCAGTCTAGGTAAGTAGCCATTTCTGGTGTTGTAGCCGTGCGAACTTGTCAGTGTCGATTTAAAACTTTCAAAATGTTGCGGAATGTCTCCTTTGATTGCATTTTCTACGGTGGTACAACGATGAAATAGACGTCTTCCAGCCAGAGGGAGCCAATTCAGACACGTCAGAGCTTCTGAAGAAGACATCTTGCCTAATTTGATTTTGAGATAGAATAAATATATGAAAATCATATATTTTGAACTGCGGTATTTGATACGTATGATGGACGATCCTCGCAGTAGATAGCGCTATTTGAGCAATAGCGAAATTCAGACCTGAAAAAAATCAGGCCTGTACGGGACTCGAACCACTGACCTCTGCGATACTAGTGCAGCGCTCTAACCAATTGAGCTAACAAGCCAACTGAGAGCAGGCCGTTAAGTTGATTCGTAATGAACCCGTGAAAGTGATAAATGAGATAGAATAAATATATGAAAATCATATATTTTGAACTGCGGTATTTGATACGTATGATGGACGATCCTCGCAGTAGATAGCGCTATTTGAGCAATAGCGAAATTCAGACCTGAAAAAAATCAGGCCTGTACGGGACTCGAACCACTGACCTCTGCGATACTAGTGCAGCGCTCTAACCAATTGAGCTAACAAGCCAACTGAGAGCAGGCCGTTAAGTTGATTCGTAATGAACCCGTGAAAGTGATAAATGAGATAGAATAAATATATGAAAATCATAAATATATAAATCGTCCATCATACGTATCAAATACCGCAGTTCAAAATATATGATTTTCATATATTTATTCTATCTCAAA